TCACATTTGTTTTGTCGTCTTTTTTGTCACCTTTTTTTCGTCCTTATTATCGTACTTTTTGTGGCTCTTTTTCGTCGATATTTTCGCGTTTTTGTTGTCCTTTTGTTATTGTTTTTTGACGGTTTTTAGACTCCCTTTTTTGCCATAGTTTCTATCGCGTTTTTTGTGCCTTTTTAATTCGCTTTTCGCTTTTTTGTGACTGTTTTTTCTCGCATTTGTTACTTTTTGTTTTCGTTGTCGGTGCATTTTTGTGTCCTTTTTTGTCGCATTTTTTGTAGTTTTCCTCTGGCTTTTCTTATGTTATTTTTTTAGTGTTTTTAATCTTCTTTTTTAATGCGGTTTAGCCTCGATTTTTGCCTCCTTTTATGCGGCTTCTTCACTCGCCTTGTTTAATTTTTTTAGCCGCGTTTACGGTTTTTTTTTTTACTACTTTTTATGGCTTCTTGATCACCCCTTTTGCCATTTTTTGGATTTCCCTTTTTTTTGTCGTCTTTTTTGTATGACTTTTTTGTTGCCACTCTTTTATAGCGTTTTCTTTATCTCTCTTTTTTTACTCGTCTTTTTGCTCTGTGTTTTTTAGTATAATTTTTTTAGTATTTCTGATCCACTTCTTTAACATGTTTTTTACCTTCTTTTATGCCCCTTCTCCACTCGCATTTTCTCATTTTTTTTTTACCGCATTTTTGGGGTTTTATGATCGGTTTTTAGTTTTTCACATTTTTGTCTTTTGCACTTTTGTGTCCTTTTTTGTCATTTTTTGTTGTCTTTCCTTTGTTTTGTCAGAATAGTTTTGCCACTTTTTGTGGCGTTTTGGTCAGCTTTTTGTCATTTTTTGATTCCCTCTCTTTTTTATCGCCTTTTTTTTATTGCTTCTTTTGTCTTCTTTCACATTTTTGTTGCCAATTTTTGATCGCGTTTTCTTTGTCCGCCTTTTTCTTATTGGTTTTTTCCGCTTTTTAGTGTTTTTAATCTTCTTTTTTAGCGCGTTTTTCTCTTCATTTTCACATCCTTTTACGTTGCTTTTTTGGCCGCGATTTTTGTGTTTTTAATTTTTCGCAGTTTGCTCACTTTTGTGACCTTTTTTTATTTTTTTACTGTATTTTTTGTGTTTTTCTTGTCAGAATTGCTTTGCCACTTTATTTTCTCGCCTTTTTGTTACTTTTTGACGTTTTGTCTTTTTTGTCTTATCGTCTTTTTTCCTGACGTGTTTTTGTGGCCCTTTTTGTTGATTTTTTAAACCATTCTTTTTTTGTCATTTTCCTCTAGTTGTTCCTTTGTTTTCCAAAAAATGCAACAATAAAAGGCACAAAGAAACACAACTACAAAAAATTGCGATGAACACGGCAAAAACACAAAAAAGACACAAAATCACCGAAAAACGACAAAAGAAGAAGGAAAAACCGACATGAAAAAAGATATAACAGAACACCAAAAAATGCGAAAGAAATCGATTAAAAAAAAGAAATCCAAGAAACAAGCACAAAGAGACAACAAACCTTGACAAAAAAAAAACACGGGCGACTTTAAAAACTGGAAAAAGGGAAAAACAAAGACAGAAAAATTGTTTAAAAAAGACGAGTAAAAACACCACAAAAGACAAAAATTAAGCACAAAAAAAATGCACAAAAAAAGACTGTAAAAAAACAACAACAAAAATAACCAAAAAACGACAAAAAAATGACAGAAAAGCCAGAAACTAGGAAAAAACGACAAGAATCGTAAGAAAATGCTAAAAACGCGGGAGTATAAGAATTCGACAAAAGACGGAAAAAAACGATTGAAAAGAAGGTACAGAAAAAGCGAAAAGAAAGGCGTCCAAAAAAAAATGATAAAAAGGGACGTCCAAGAAACGAAAAAACCGCAAAAATGCCATAAAAAGGCTGGAAAAAAGCGACAAAAAAGACGGCATAACAAATTTAAGAAAAAGACAAAAACAAATCTTGACGAGAAAATGACACAAAAAAGCACGAACTAAAAAAAAAGCGAGAATAACCCGACCAAAAAGAAATCGAATAAAATGTAATTAAAAAAGACACAAAAAAAGAAATAAAAACAAAGACAAAAAACGTCTTTAAATAATGATGACAACAAACACCATAACCACCAAAAATTAGCCATAAAAAACCAGGCGAAAACAAAACGACAAAAAAAGTAATACAAAATCCACGAAATGTGAAAAAAAGACAAACATCGTAAAAAAGACCAAAAACGTATAAAAATTCAACAAAAGACAAACAAAATGATTGAAAAAGAGGGTTGAGAAAAAACGAAAAAAGTCGCAAAAATGCCATAAAAGAACACAAAAAACACGACAAACAAAAAGAAGCGAAAATAACCGAGCCAAAAAGAAATCGAATAAAATTGTATCTACGAAGTCACAAAAAAAGAGATAAAAAAACGCGTTTAAAAATGAAGACACAAAACACCTAACGACAAAAAAATAGCCATAAAAAACGAGCCGAAAACAAAACTATTAAAAAAAGAGGAAAAGTACAATACCACAAAGAAGGCGACAAAGAGAGAAACAAAAAAGAGTCCAAAAAATCGCGACAAGAAAGCAACAAGAAATACGTCAAACAAGACGACAAAAAAAATAAAAAAAGTGACCAAAAACACAATTCAAATTAAGAAAAACGACAAAAAATAAAAACAAAAAGGACAAAAATCTAAAAAACGACAAAAAACACGCGTCAAAAAATTGCAACAACAAAAAGTCGAAAACAAAGATTTTAAAAAATTGACAAACAAAATGCGATGATTAAGGCGACAAAGAAAAATCCAAAAAAGAGGCAAAGAAGATGACAAAAAAAACAAAAAATGCGACAATACAGGGGAAAAAAAGATGACAAGAAAAGTAACCAAAAACACCCAAAAAACGACAAAAGAGGCAGCAAAAAATTGCGAAAAAAAGATTTTAAAAAGGGACAAAGATAATGCGATGAAGAAAGGTACAAAAAAAGAGAGAAAAAAGGGCAAAAAAGTCACAAAAAATGCAACAATAAAAGGCAATTAAAAACTACGGCCAAAAAAATGTCACAAAGAAAAACTACAAAAAATTGCGATGAACACGACAAAAAACACAAAAAAGCTACAAAATCACCAAAAAACGACAAAAGAAGATGGAAAAACCGACAAGAAAAAAGATATAAAAGGTCACCAAAAAATGTGAAAAAAATCGATTAAAAAAAAGGAATCCATGAGACAAGCACAAAGAGACCACAAACCTTGACAAAAAAAACACGAGCGACTTTAAGAGCTGGAAAAAGGAAAAAATAAAGACAGAAAAATTGTTTAAAAAAGACGACTAAAAACATCACAAATGACAAAAGTTAAACACAATCAAAATTACACAAAAAGACTACCAAAAAAACAACAAAAAAAGTAACCAAAAAATGACAGAAAAGCCAAAAACTGTGAAAAAACGACAAGAATTGTAAAAAAAGGGCAAAAACATAGGAGTTCATAAGAATTCGACAAAAGACGGAAAAAGACGATTACAAAAGGGGTGGAGAAAAAGCAAAAAAAAAGGCGTCCAAAAAAAATGATAAAAAGGGGAGTCCAAGAAACGAAAAAAACGCAAAAATGCCATAAAAGGGCGGGAAAAAAGCGACAAAAAAGACGGCATAACAAATTTGAGAAAAAGACAACAACAAATCTTGACGAGAAAATGACACAAAAAAGCACGATCAAAAAAAAGAAGCGAAAATAAAATGTGATTTAAAAAAACACAAAAAAAGAAATAAAAACAAAGACAAAAAACGTCTTTAAAAAATGATGACAAAAACCACCATAACGACAAAAAATTGCCATAAAAGCCAGATGAAAACAAAACAAATAAATACATGAAAAAAAAAGTGGCCAAAAACACCATTAAAAACAAGACAAACGACAAAAAGTAAAAAAAAACTAAAAAGGCGACAAAAAAATTGCAACAACAAAAAGACAAGAAAACGCTTGACAAAAGATGGACAAAAAAAGAGACAAATAAAAGGCACAAAAATACACCAAAAAAAGAGGACAAAAGAAAAAACCGACAAGAAAAATGTTACAAGAAAGCTACAAAAGTCATAAAAGAATATGAAAGAAATCGATTCAAAAAAGGAGTCCAAAAAACAAAAACAAAAAAGTGACAAAACAAACAATAAAAAATGTGAAAAAACGGCAAAGATCGTAAAAGAGCGTTTCGCCAATCGCGTTGGCTTTATTAGACAAAATTGTTTAGCTGAACTGACCTGACTTGACCTGAGCTGACCTGAGCTGACCTGACCCGTGTATATTTTGATGAATTCGTTGTGTCTTCATCTTAGATTTTATTAGAAATGTTATATAATGACATAAAAACAAAGACGACTTGAGAATGTGGATGGTTTAAGAAAGAACTGGTTTAAATATTTTAATAAACGAGTGTGTATACAATTAAATTTTATATTAAAAAATTAAATATTATGTCTAATCACGGTAATTTCCAGTTTTGTGTTCTATTGATGGAATTCACCAATTTGTCAAATGTTATTTCATCATCGTCCATTGGTGCAACTGTCGATAATTAGATATGTGAAGAATTCATTAAGTAGATTTATTAAATTAAAATTCTTGAGACCACGTTTTGACCAGAAAGTTAAACTTGAAAGTGTACCAGTTATGACATTTTTTTACTAAAGCGGCATAACTATCTGTCGTCAAGAACGTATACTCCTTCGACAATTCGTTATTTCTTCACACGTGACAAATCAAATCTCTTTGTTCTTTCCCGGAAATGTAAACAATTTTTTCTGTGCGTTTTTTGTATCGCAATCAGATTGTCATTTCATTTCTGTCACTTTTGAAATCATACACACATTTCTGTTTTACTGTAGCAGCGGGTGATGTATCTTTAATAATAACAATATAAAAAACGCGCTATAAACCGGTCTAAATCAATACGTATTCACGTTTTCGTACAAAAAACGCTTTATTTTCAAATAAGCCGCGTTCACAATGTCAAACACTTAACAACGTTTATAGCGCCCTCTGTACTTCCAGCACTTCCACCAATGGCCTTCCGCGTCATTAAGTGTGCAGCACTCTGCACCCCCGGCGCCGCACTGCTGCCAACCCTCACGTGAGTAAAATTCAAACAAACTAACGCGCACTTTGTGCCCCAACAAAGCAGTATTGATTGTTAGCAAACGGACCATCAAAATGTGTGATACCAAGTTAAATGGTAAAATAAACGGGGTGGACGGGAAGGCCCCCTTCCTGATTGGGGTCTCCGGGGGCACAGCCAGCGGCAAGGTACCCAATCATTAATAATTAGCAATCCCGACTACGTTTGTCTTGTAGAGCACCGTTTGCAAGCGAATCATGGAAAAACTGGGCCAAGTAGACGTCGACCACACTCAAAGACAAGTCGTGTGCATTTCGCAGGACTGTTTTTACCGAGATTTGACCCCCAGCGAAATCCTCAAAGCCGAAAGGGGTTTGTTTAATTTTGATCATCCAGACGCATTTAACGAGAAGTTGATGAAGGAGACTCTGATGGACATTCTAGCGGGGAAAATCGTCCATATTCCGACGTATGATTACAAGAATCATTCTTTGTAAGTGATTTTGATCGTGACATAACCTAACTAAATGACGTTGTTACATAACCTCACTTTGTGGTTATTTTAGGCGTAGGGACGAAATTCTGACGATTTATCCCGCAGACGTGGTGCTTTTTGAGGGTATTTTAGTGTTTTATTTCCCGGAGGTGCGAAAGTTGTTTCATATGAAGCTGTTCGTGGATACTGATTCGGACACGAGGTTGGCTAGACGAGGTACTAGTAGTTAAGAGTGGAGTTTTGGGGACTGAGGTTTGGTTTTAGTGCCCAGGGATATCAACGAGCGCGGACGCGACTTGGAGCAGGTTTTGAACCAGTATATGAATTTCGTGAAGCCGGCTTTCGAGGAATTCTGCTCACCTGTAAGTGGTTTATTTTTGGTTATTCGGTGTTGATTTTTTCGTTTTAGACCAAGAAGTTCGCTGACGTGATTATTCCTCGCGGCGCCGATAACACCGGTAAGCACTTAGCCCGTCCATTTCATTCGTTTTACAAAACCGCTTTGGTGAATGGTGATAGTCACTGCAAATCATCCCTGTACCATAAATATCACCTGTATCATGCTGTATGTCATAGCTGTGAAACCGTTGCATGATAAAGTCGTTGTAGTTGTTGTGCTAGAAATTGACAGTATTTATTTTGCAGTGGCTATTGACCTAATAGTTCACCACATCTGGGATATATTACATGGAAAAGAGCGAGAAAACGGCTACAAGTTCATTCCAGTGACACCAAATCGGATCTAAGCTAACACACCTCACACATTATCGCGTAGACTACCAAAGTATACTTATCTTAAGTGTAAGGGTATTACAAGACTGGTCACGAGCACAACTGTCAATTCGTTTTTGATCTGATGTATTTTTAAATTCAGTGCATTTACATTCGGGTTATCATTAGATGTAAGAATTTTGTTATAACCAGCTTCATGAATAAATCAGTTCTGCATGATTTCTTTTTATTCAGTTGCCATCGACCTGATTGTGCAACATATCAGAGAGATCCTGAATAACCGTCAGAGGAATTCGGAGGAGCGCACGATCGAGGTGGTGCCGGCAGCTGTCACCCTCACCCCGACGCATTCGCCAGCTAAAAGAGCCAATTCCGGAGGGGACGGCCAGTTCAAACGGCCTCACTAATTTATCACGCAGTTGTTAGAGTACGTTGTTGAATTCTTGCCTCCAAACACAAATACAGCAGAAGTATATTTTTATTAATTACTTTACTAGTATTAGGGTTGTAAATGTGTAAATAGGTGCTTCTAAATCAAAATATGCCAAAGGATAGGGTTAGTGCGGTGTTACAGTTTAGTAGCGGTTCTATATTGCACTAAACTCGGTTAGTTGGTTGACGTGCCATTTTTTTAATGTCAATACTCATTTATTTGCAGGGTCTTTGTTGAGTACTTAATTGTCTATGTAACCAAATTTCTACAAATTTGTGTGATATTTATACCAAAATGTTTTAATATTTGATTTATTGTATTTGAGTTGGCAATAAAAAATACAACTAATGGTTTTATTTAGTCTATGATTAATTTTAAATACAAAAGTAACGCATTCTTCCCACAACCAAACCCCTTATTGATAGTATAGTTCGATGTTCATCCCATCGTGAATCTCATCTGAAATTACTGTTAAGGATTTTTTTTCTTTTTTTTTTTTGGTTCTACATCGCAAAAATTCTACTGTTTCAATTTTCTTTTGATAAGATTATAACGGGCGATCAAAAAGTTTTCAGATTAGAGTTGGCCATGTATTTGTCATGTCTTTGAACTGTAAAAGACATACCTACATAACCTCACTTGTAATTCAAAATTTTGATTTTTTGATATTTACAATTTAATCAAAGACATGAGAAATATTTCCACGCCAACTCCAATCTGAAAACTTTGATCCCCGTTACAATAAAAATTTAAAAAATAGTCGAACGTTATTTCGACAGAACTTCCCTCGCCCCTGAAGTGTGACCTAACAAATTATTCAATTTTCCAACTTTTACTTTTTGTCTGTACCTGATTTTTTCAGTTTCTTGTTTCTTCAATTTCTAGATTTTGCAATTTTTCGATTGTTTATTTTCGTTACTTTTACAATTTTTAGTTTTTTCAATTTCAATTTTATAAGTTTCTCGATTTTTATTAGTACTTCAATGTTTCGATTTTTCGTTTCTTCTGTTTAGATTTACAATTTTTCGACTTTTCAATGATTCGATTTTATATTTTTTTACCAATGTCAATTTTTTTAATTTTTCGTTTCCTCAATTTTTCAGTTTTCCTTTTTTTTGTTTCTCTAATTTAACGATATGCAAGTTATCGAGTTTTCGTTTATAAAATTTTCAGTTTCTCGATTTTCCACCTTTTGGATCTTTCAATTTATCGATTTACAATTTCGGTTTTTTATTTTCTTTATTCTTTGGGTTTTTCGATGTTCTAATTTTATAATTATTTTTCTCTTTTTCAATGTAAAATTTTTCAATTTTTGGATTTGCAATTTTTCGATTTTTTAATTCTGCGTTATTTCATTTTTAGATTTTCCAATTTTTGATTTCTCCAATTTTTTATTTACAATTTTTTTAGTTTCCATTTTAAATTTATATAGGTAATAATAATTATGATTTTAAAATTTTTGACTTTTTAAATTTTACTATTTAAAACTTTTTCATTTATTCGATTTTTAATTTTTCAGTTTCTGAATATTTAATTTTTCAATATTTCGATGTGTCAATTTTACAGTTTTTCGAGTTTGCAATTTTGACGAATCTATAATTTTTCAATTTTCCAACTTTTCGATTCGATTCGTTTTTTTCTTCTTTCAATTTTTCGACTTTTAAGTTTTTCGATTTTTAGTTTTTCAATGTTTTAATTTTTCGTTTCTTCAGTTCTTCCATTTTGCAGTTTTTTGATTTGCAAATTATTCGTTTCGGTTTTTTATTTTCTTTTTTTTCAATTATTCGATTTTACAATGTTCCAATTTTCAATTTTTTTTCTTGTATATGTAATTTTTTCAGTTTCTTGTTTTCTTCAATTTTTCGATTTGCGGTTTTTCACTTTTTCATTTTTTTGTTTCTTCAATTTCTAGAATTTACAATTTTCCATTTCTTCAAATTTTCGATTTGCAATTTTTCGTTTCGCTTTTTTATTTTCTTTATTTTTTCAAATTTTCGGTTTTTCAACTTTGGATTTTTAATTTTTCATGTTTTCACTTTTTGATTTGCAATTTTTCTAGTTTTTATTTTACATTTATGTATCTAATAATATGTATTACAATTTTTAATGTTTTTCAATTTTACGATTTCAGAATTTTTCAATTTTTCGATTTTCTAATATTACAGTTGTTCGACTTTACAATTTTGGCGATTCTATAATTTTTCGATTTTACAATTTTTGGATTCGATTCGTTTTTTCTTTTTCCAATTTTTTAAATCATTAATTTTTTTCGATTTTAATTTTTCAATGTTTCGGTTTTTCGCTTCTTCGGTTCTTAGAATTTCAAATATTCGATTTTAGACTTTTTTCAAATTTTCAGTTTGTTCGTATTTTTCAATTTTACGATTTACAATTAATTTTTCGTTTCGGTTTTTTATTATCTTTATTTTTTTCAATTATTCGATTTTAAAATGTTCCAATTTTAAATTTTTTTGTTTTTATCTGTATTTTTTTCAGTTTCTTGTTTCTTCAATTTTTCGATTTGCGATTTTTCAACTTTAAATTTTTTTGTTTCTTCAATTTCTAGAGTTTTTCGTTTCTTGAATATTTCACTTCTTCAAATTTTCGATTTGCAATTTTTCGTTTCGATTTTTTTTCTTTATTTTTACAATTTTTCGATTTTTCAATGTTCCGATTTTATAATTTTTATTTTTTCAAATTCAATTTTTTCAATTTTTCGTTTCTTCAATTTTTCGATTTGCAACTTTTCAATTTTTGTTTTTTTATTTCCTCAATTTTTCAATTTTTAGATTTTGCAATTTTTCGATTTGCAATTTTTCTTTTCTTTATTTTTTCAACTATTCGATTTTCCAGTGTCCCGATTTTATATTTTTGTATTTTTTCAATTTATCGCTTTGCAATTTGTCAATTTTTTTTTTGTTTCTTCAATTTTTAGATTTTGCATTTTTTGAAACAAAATGTCTCTAGTTTCCAATGTTTCATTTTTCAATTTTTTGATTCTTTAGCTTGTCATTTCTACAGATTTTTGATTTGCAACTTTTCATTTTTCTTTATTTTTTCAATTTTTCGTTTCTTCAATTTTACTCTTCGAGTTTTCATTTTTAAACTTTTCAGTTTCTCTATTTTCCAATTTTTGATTTATAATTTTTCTAATTTTAATTTTAAATATGTAACAATTATAATTTTCATTTTTTTTCTTTTTCAATCTTACGAGTTTGGAAGTTTTCCATTTTGCAATTTTTTTGGATTTTTAATTTTTCAGTTTCTGAATACATATTTGATTTTTAAATATTTCGATCTTTCAATATTGCAGTGTTTCGAGTTTACAATTTTTGGGATTCCCAATTATTCGATTCGATTCGTTTTTTCTGCTTTCTAATTTTTCGATTCATGAATTTTTTCGATTTTTAAGTTTTTCAATGTTTCAAATTTTCGTTTCTTCAGTTCTTCGATTTTCGGATTTTCGATTTTACAATGTTCCAATTTTATAATTTTTTCACTTACGATTTTTCAAATTTTCATTTTTTCTGTTTCTTCCATTTCTAGATTTTCCAATTTTTCGTTTCGATTTTTTATTTTCTTGATTTTCACAATTTTGCTATTTTTCAATGTTCCGATTTTATAATTTTTTGTTTTCCCAATTTCAATTTTTTCAATTTTTCGTTTCTTCAGTTTTTTTATTCGAGTTTTACGAGTTTTCGATTTAAAATTTTTCGCATCAATTTTTTGTTTTCTTTATTTTTTCAATTATTCGATTTTTCATTGCTCCGATTATACATATATATAATTTTTTGTTTTTTCGGTTTTAATTTTTTCAATTTTTCGCATTGCGATTTGTCAATTTTATTTTTTTTTGTTTCTTCAATTTTTAGATTTTGCATTTTTTGATTTAAAATTTCTTTTTCGATTCTTTAACTTCTCATTTCTACAATTTCTTTATGTTTTCAATTTCAGTTTTTTCAATTTTTCGTTTCTTCAATTTTCGTTTTCGACTTTTCATTTTTAAAATTTTCAGTTGCTCTATTTTCCAGCTTGTGGATGTTTCAAACTTTCAAGTTGCAATTTCACGGGTTTTCAATTTTACGATTCTTTAATTTTTCATGTCTTCAGTTTTTCATTTAGGTTTTTTATTTTTTTATTCCTTCGGTTTTTCAATGTTCGGATTTCATCATTTTTCTTTTTTCAATATGAATTTTTTTTTATTTTTCGATTTGCTATTTTTCAGTTTTCAATTTTTCGATTTTTTAATTCTTCGTAATTTCAATTTTAGATTTTTTAGTTTCTTAACTTTCCAATTTTTCGTTTCTTCAATTTTTGATTTACAATTTTTCTAATTTTCATTATAATTTTTAAAATTTTTTACTTTTGTAATTTTTATATTTTGCAATTATTAGATTTTAAAACGTTTTCATTTATTCGGTTTTTCAACTTTTCGATTTTTAATTTTTCAATCTCTCAGTATTTAATTTTTTATATTTCCATCATTTCAATGTTACAATTTTTCGTTTTTTCAATTTTGACAATTCTAAAATTTTTCGATTCTACAATTTTTGGGTTTTCCAACTTTTCGATTCGATTCGTTTTTTCTTCTTTCTAATTTTTCAATTCATTAATTTTTTTCGATTTTTAAGTTTCCGATTTTTCAAATTTCCATATTTAAACTTCTCAAACCAACAAAATGGAAAACTGAAAAATTGTAAAATTGAAAAATCAACAATGAAAAACAAGACAGTAAATATTTCGTTTTGTTAAATAACGAAAATCTAAAAATTGGAAGCCAAGAACTTGAAAAGTTGACGAAACGAAAAATTCAAAAATCGAAAGAAATTGATAAGAAACTTAAAAATGCAAAAGTTGCAAAAACGAAATATTGTAAAATCGAAAAATTGAAAGTTAAACAAATCGGAAAATCGGATACCTAATTGAGAAATCCAAAAAATGCAATACTGAAAAATTTAAAGATTGGAAAATCGAGGAATTGAAAATTAAAAAACTGAAAATTTGAAAAATTAAATAAACAAAAAATTATAAAATTGAAAAAATAAAGAAAACGAAAAAACAAAAAATTGTGACATAAAACTGAGAAAATGAAAATTAAAAAATCAGGAAAATGAGAAATAAAAATCAAAAACTTGAAAAATTGAAAAACCAGAAAATTAAAAATTGAGACAAAATCGAAAAAAGAACAATTGTAGTATGGAAAAATTGAAAAATTAAAAAAATTAAAGTCGAAAAAACAAAAAATTATGAAATCAAAACATTGAAAAGTGGAAAAATCGAAAAATTAAAGAAATCGGACAATTGGATAATCGAGAAAAACAAAAATTGCAAAATTGAGAAATTTAAAAATTGAAAAATTTAAAAATTGAAAAATCGAGGAATTGAATAAACGGAAAGTTATAAAATCGAAAGAAACATTGAAAAAATAAAGGAAACGAAAAAACTAAAAATCTTAATACAAAATCGAGAACATGAGAATTACAAAAACGAGAAAATGATAAATAAAAATCAAGAACTTGAAAAATTCAATCGAAAAACGAAAAATTGTAGTCTCGAAAAATCGCAAAATTGCAAATCGAAAAATTGACGAAACGAAAAATTGAAAAATTTGGAAGTCAAAAAATTCAGAACCGAAACATTGAAAAATGCAAAAATTAAAAAAATGGAAAAACAAAAATTGTGATATAATAAAATTGTAAAAACGAAAAAAAAAATGAAAAACAAGAAATTGGTCGAGAATTGAGGACCTGAAAAATCGAAAAATGAAAAAATGTAATACATATCAACAAACTGCAAATTGAAAAGTTGAAGAAACAAAAAATTGAAAATTTTGGAAGTCGAAAAATTCAAAAAATTAAAATTGGAAAAACGAAACATTAAAAAATGGAAAAAATAAAAAATGAAACGAAATGAAAAACCGAAAAACTGCGATATCAAAAAATTATAAAATCGAAGAAAACGGAAAAACGAAAAATGCTGATATCAAAAAATTAGTCGTGGGTAAATAAATCCAGACTTTTCGAAAAATTATAAAATTTGGTTAGTGTTTCACCGTCAACACTATATTCTTAATGCGGATATAAAATTTTACAAAAATTCGGACAGACTGAAAATCGGGACTTATTTTTTCGTACTCTAGGGGTCATGAAACGTCGAGAAATCATAAAAGTAGCTAGTCGTCCAATGTAAGACATTTTATAAATTTTCTTAAATCATTTTTAATTTTATCCAAAATATAAATATTACGTATCAACGACCATATAGTTTTTAGGTTAGTTTTTCTTGTTTTCGTTGTAAAGGGATGAAAATGGTCTTAAAAATAACTGTATGAATCCTATAGACATTTTCAAGATTTGACTACATAAGTATATTATTTCTATTTCTTCATATTAGTCTTAATTTCTTACCAAGTTTATGTGCGCCATATTTGACATTTGACACAGTGTTGTCAAATAGACTGAAAAAAAACTCGGAATTTTTCGACAGAAATCGCAAAAATTCGGTTGATGGCGTCATTTTCTCAAAACGAATACACATCAGACGTAACATATTTACCAAATATTTACAATTAACACTTGACTTTGATTGATTTGATAAACAATAATAAGTGATAAGAGAGTCTAAAAACCGCATGTTTATGAAATTGGCTGGTTTTCAGAGAAATTGTTTAAATTTCCAACAACATTAGAGTTACCTTTTTCTCCACGTTTTACACTGCTTGAAAACTAAAATTATTGCGAAATTAGGTTAGGTCTAAAGGATACAATCCTGCAACTGAATATGGTCTTTGAAGGTGGTGTACCATTTTTTCAGGACAATTTTGTCCCATCTGGTACCCGTCTGGGCCGCTATGAGCTTCTTCAGGTCTCCGACGGTATCATCAGGGTTGCATTTCACCCTCACTTTTTTCCCCAGTCGGTCATTACACGTTATTTCTATCATCTCGGAATCTGCAAAATTACCACGTATAATCGACCAAACAGCAACACTTTTCCACTTACACGTTCGCACACTCAATTATTTGTGTTTATTTACCAAGTTTTCCACAAATTCCACGAACGTTCAATTTCGATAATCACAAGCGTGCGTTTGACGTTTGACGTTCCAACTGTCAAATCTGCGACCTACTCAACGTCACCGTAGACCCAACGTCCCACCTCGCTCCACGTAGTTCTTTTACACTCTCAAAAGTTACGTGTCTGCGTGGAGCTTTTGCTCTCTGTAATCAAAATGAATATTCCAAACGAATATGTTTCAAATGCCGAAGACATAGCCGATCAGGTAAAAACGTCAATTAGTCGCCCCCAGAACTGCCCACTTTTTCCATATAATCAAAACTTTCTGTCAAAACCTGCAACTTTTTCAAAAAAATCACCCCAAAGTTTGGTGTCACGTCACCTTGCAACTTTTGTTCAAATTAAAAATAAATCAACAGGTTTTACGCTTAACGCGTCTAAATAAAACCATCTCGAGACACTACTAACTGGTCGCTGTTACTGCATTCGACGACTTCCATATGCTAAAAAATCACGTTCCAGGTCATCAGAAAATTAAAACATATCCTTCCAACAGTCGCCCGGCTGTGCTTAATATCCACGTTCCTGGAAGATGGTTTGCGGATGTGGTTCCAGTGGAACGAACAGAGAGAGTACATGGACTTGTCATGGGGCTGCGGCAAGTTCCTGGCCACCGTTTTCGTCTTAGTTAATTTAATCGGCCAGCTGGGGGGCTGCGTTATGGTTATCATACGCTACAAAGTCGCCATTGCTTGCGGGGTGCTATTTTTCATTGTAGTCCTACAGGTAGGAACGACCCCAACGTAGTCCCAATCTAACTTAGTCTTGCAGACTTTCGCCTACAGTATATTGTGGGACTTGCAATTCCTCTTCAGAAACTTGGCTCTCATCGGCGCCCTTCTGCTAGTCTTGGCGGAAAGCAGAGGCGAAGCCAAGAGTTTATTCGCCGGGGTCCCATCTCTCGGGGAGAACAAGCCCAAGAACTATCTGCAGCTCACGGGGCGCATTTTGCTGGCTTTTATGTTCATCACGCTGATCCGATTTGAGTTCAGCTTCTTACAGGTGAGTGAGACAAGGGGGCTAAAACGCAATTTATGGAGGTAAATGAACCGGAAAAGTTGTTTGGTTTTGTGTGTTTTTTTAACGCTGCCAAGAATTCCAACAATGGCACGTAAATTCTATTAAAAATAAACTTTATTGGGGTTTGAATTGCGAATATGTGATTTATTTAAAAATAACTTTTGTAATAAAGTGAACGCTAGAGTGTTGGATAATGGGTTTCAGTCGTAGTTTCAGCGGAAACTTTTTCCATAACTATTTTTCTGTCGTTGCATAACTAGTCTGTATTTGTATTGTTATCTTAATCAGGCTTTTAGATATATTTGCTTATCAAAGTCGTGAAACTCGTAGTTATGAACTTGTAATTATTTATTGTGATTAGACTGAACTTTGCCACTTCCCGTCGGTGTTGTGATGATTCGCATTTTCTATATTTTTTGCTAATCACTTGCAGTCATAGAAAATTTCAAAGTCATTGAATATTTTAAGGTGTTTAAAAAACACTATCAACCAATTGTAAACTAGTTCTAAGTGGGTGGATCTGTCTACGCCACGCCCCTTGAACTTCTTGCGCTACATTCGAAGATGAACCTTATTAAATTTGGCAACAATTTAAAACACCGTAGAAGACACTTACGTTTTGTTTTGTTTTTGTTTTCTTTTGCATGCGCATTTTGTTAACCAAGGTCACGGTCAACGAACTTGACACTTTAGAAACATGAATTCTAATAACAATTGATTGGTGTTAATTTTTAAATAACATCTTCGTTAAAAAATACTAAAAAGTAATTCTTAGCCGAACAACTAGGGTTTGTGGGGGTGGAACTGGATAAGCCAAGCCCACTAACGTGTTTTCAATTATTAAGCGCAATCAGCCCTTAATACAAGTTTACAATAAGTCAGAGTACTTTCAGTTCAATCAGGTTTGATGATTAATCAAGTTTATTGTTGTGGGGGCGGAATCTATGTGGACACACCCTTGTATATAGTGCCCCAGTTGAAACTCCTATGTCTTGAGAACGGATAGAAATATTGAAATTTTGTGAACGCCATCGTTTTTAGCTTGTAGGGGATTTTTAGGGACACGCCTACATCCTGGTTATATTAACTTGGCTTCTTTTTTTTTCAGATTTTGTTAGTTTACGATTTTTTCTTTTTTCAATTATCTAGTTTTCGGATTTTTCAATTTTAAATTTTTCATTTTTCAGTATTTTCATTTTAATTTTCGAAACATTTTGATTTTTCAGTTTTCGGATTCTTCAATTTTTCACTTTTCAATTCTATTTTTAAATATTTCAATTTTTTAATTTTTAGATTTTCGGGTTTTCCGATTTGTCTTGTAAATTCGATTTCTCAATGATCCAGCTTTTGATGCTTCAGTTTTTGGATTTTCAAGATTTTGATTTTAAATATTTCAATTTTCAATTTTCTTTTTCATATTTCCATTTTTCGATTTTTCAGTTTTTGAATTTTCGAATTTTAAATGTTTGGATTTTCGGTTTTTCAGTTATTCGATTTTTCAATAGTTCGAAATTCTCCAATGTTTGGTTTATTCAGTTTTTCACTTTACAATTTTCCTATCCAGTTTTTAGTTTTTGAATTTTTCAATTATTGATTTTTCAGTATTTCAGTTTTTAAGGTTTTCGATTTTTCAGCATTTTGATATTTAAAATTATTCGATTGTTCAGTTTTTGTGTTTGTTAATTTGACCTCAGTTTTTGACTTTTCAATTTCACTATGTTTCGATTCTTCAGTTTTTCTTTTGTTCAATATTTCAATCCAAAAGTGTCGATTTTTCAGTCTTGGGTTTTCCAGTTGTCAATTTTTGAATTTTCAAGTTTTCAATTTTTCGATTATTTAGTTTTCGGATTTTTCAATTTTTGACTTTTCAATTGTATTTTTCAGTATGAATTTCAATTTTTCGTTTCTACGTTTTTAATTTTTCGATTTTTCAATTATTTCTATTCGATTCTCCGATTTCTTGATTTTTGTGTTTTGATTTGTCTTTTAAATTTTTCGATTTTTCAGTGATCCAGTTTTCAATTTTCCGAGTCTTCAGTTTTCGAATTTTGAATTGTGTTCGAATCGTCAGTTTTTGGTTTGTTCAATTTTTGACTTTTCAATTTTTCCAATTTTCAGTTTTTTTGATTTTCTGATATTCTTCGATTTTTCGATTTTTAAATATTTCATCTTTTCAATTTTTCAACTTTACAATTATGGTTCTTGGGTTTATCAATTTTTTAATTTTTCGGTTCATCAGTTTTCAAAATTTTAAGTTTTTGACTTTTGAGTGCTTCGATTTTTCAGTTTTTGACTTTTCAATTTTACTATGTTTCGATTCTTCAGTTTTTCTTTTTTTTCAATATTTGAATTCAAAAAGTTTCGATTTTCAATTTTTCCATTATGTAGATTACGGATATTTCATTTTTTGACTTAAATTCTGTTTTTCAATATTTTAAGTTTTGAATTTTTCGTTTCTGTTTCTAATTTTTTGTTTTTGGGTTTTTCGATTATACGATTTTCATTTTTCCATGTTTCAATTTTTCGGCTCTTTAGTTTACGATGTTTTATTTTTTCAATTATTTAGTTTTCGGATTTTTTAAATTTGAATTTTTCATTTTTCAGTATTTTCATTTTAAAATTTTTTCGATTTTTCAGTTTTTGGGTTTTTCAGGTTTCTTTTTTTGAATTTGCAAGTTTTCAATTTTTCGATTATGTATATAGTTTTCGGATTTTTGAATTTTTGACTTTCATTCTGCTTTTCAGTATTTCAATTTTTGAATTTTTCGTTTCTATGTTTTTAATTTTTAGACTTTTGTGGGTTTCAATTTGTATTTTAAAATTTTTCGATTTTTCAAAGCTTTCAATATTTCAACTTTTCGATTCTTCAGTTTTTGATTTCAAATATTTCGATTTTCAATTTTCTATTTCGTATTTCAATTTTCTATTTCGTATTTCAATTTTTCGATTTTTCAGTTTTCGAGTTTCCAATTTTTCGTTTTTCAGTTTTTCAATTATTCACTTTTCGATTTTCAATTTTTCGAATTTTCAGTTTTGGGATTTTCCAGGTTCCGATTTTTTCAATTTTCCGAGTCTTCAGTTTTCGATTTTTTAATTGGTCGAAATTCTTCAGTGTTTGGTTTGTTCAATTCTTGACTTTACAACTTTTCAATTATCGATTTTTCAGTATTTCAATGTTTAAGTTTAGATTTTTCATTTTTCCAATTTTCAGTTTTTGGATTATCCAGATATTCATTTTTTCGATTTTTCAATTTTTCAGCTTTTCGATTTTTCAATTTTACAAGTATTCAGTTTCCGATTTTTCGCGTCTATGATTTTTTGATTCTTGGGCTTACCGATTTTTTAATTTTTCGATTCATCAGTTTTTAAAATTTTCGCTTTTTGTTTGTTGAATGTTTCGGTCTGTCTGTTTTTCAGTTTTACATTTTTAATTTTAAAATTTTTCGATTTTTCAGTTTTTGAATTTTTCAATTTTTGACTTGAGTTTTTGATTTTTACTTCCCGAGCGTAAGCAAAGGAAGTATTGTAATCGAGTCCGTCGGCCGACTCTCTACTTTTACGTTTTCTCGATCTTTCATGACCCCTAGAAGACGAAGAAATAGGTCTCCCATTTCCGTCTGTCTGTCCGTCCGTCTGTCCGTCCGTCTGTCCGTCCGTCTGTCCGTCTGTTGTCCCGGATTTTTATTAGACAGATAATCTCCGAAAGTACTCGACCGATTGTTGTGAAATTTTGTACTTATATTAAGAATATCATGTAGATGGTAAAACGCTAACCAAAATTTGTCTAATCATCCCCACCACTAAAGCGATGACGTCACTTCAAAATTGTACATAGTAAATGGGTTTTCAATTGTATAAAATAACATAGTCCTACACATGTAGTTTACAACTCTGAATCGACTTTTCACCCGAAACGTCCAGATTTTTGGAAAAAAAATCAAAATTATAAAACAACATTTTGAAATTTAATTTTTAATCTGCTAACCAGAATGCTTTGAAATGTTGCAGATGTTTTAAGGCTATAAAGAGCATCATAAATCTTTAGTCAAAAAATATTTGCTTATCCCCTCCAAAAACTTGATGACGTCAGCTCAAAAGTTTGTGGAATAAATCATATCTAAAATTTACAAAATATGATGAGTCTGTACTTGTGATCCATCACTCCATTCAAATTTTTTGGATTTGCATATACAGGGTGACTCAAAAAAATTAATGAATGCGTAAATATATTTTATTGATTTAATCAGGAACTACAACACCGAATGCTCTGAAATCTTGCAGATGTTTTAAGGTCATAAAAAGCATAATAAATGTTTAGTCAAAATATATTTGCTTATCCCCTCCAAAAACTTGATGACGTCAGCTCGAAAGTTTGCCGAATAAATCATATCTAAAATGTACAAAATATGATGAGCCTGTACTTGTCATTTATCACTCCATTCATATTTTTTGGATTTGCATATACAGAGTGACTCAAAAAAATTAATGAATGCGTAAAAATATTTTATTGATTTAATCAGGAACTACAGAACGGAATGCTCTGACATCTTGCAGATGTTTTAAGGTTATAAAGAGCATAATAAATGTTTAGACAAAATATATTTGCTTATCCCCTCCAAAAACTTGATGACGTCAGCTCGAAAATTTGCCGAATAAATCATATCTAAAATGCACAAAATATGATCAGTCTGTACTTGTGATCTATCACTCCATTCATATTTTTTGGATTTGCATATACAGGGTGATTCAAGAAATTAAATGAAAGCGTAAATTTATTTTACTGATTTACTCAGGAACTACAAAACCGAGTGCTTCGAAATCTTGAAGATATTTTAAAATTATCATAAGCATGGTAAATTTTTGATCAAAATGTATTTGGTCGTCCCCCCTAAAAAATGTATGTACGTCACCACAAAATTTTGCTGAATAAATCCTATCTAAAATGTACAAAATATGATGAGTCTGTACTTGTGATTTATCAT